CCCCGGAAAAAAAAAAAAAAAAAAAAAAAGTGGTGGTGGTAGAGGTGGCTGAGCAGGAAGCCAGTCTCTAACCACTCAACTCTCCCTTCTGAGTCACTGCTTCCGCTCACTGTGGGCAGATGCTCTCCTTGTTGCCTCTGGGGGAGATTGAAGCCCTGGGTGGGATGGGTAACTACCTCCTTGGCCCAGTGTCTGCAGTGCATCCTGTGGGGACTACAGAAAAAGATCTGCATTTGCCTTTGTGGGAGGATGCCCAGCCTGTGGCCACCTCATGCCCCTGGCGAGTGGACACCAGCTTAGGACAACTCCTTTTTGGTCCAGAGCATGCTCGGCGCCTGGACATCTTTGTCCAAAACTTGGCCAAGGCTCAGATGCTGCAAGAGGAAGACTTGGGGACTGCTGAGTTTGGGGTGACTCCATTCAGTGATCTCACAGGTACTAGGACCCTCTTGGTCCCTAAGTGGAAGGTGGGAAAGCAGGTCACCTGGGTATCCTGGCAGACAGAGCAGAAGAACTTCTGCTTTCAGGACCAGCCATGGTACCTGCCTCAAATCCCCAAGCAGAGGGTTGGAAACTTTTCCAGCCTGTGTCCTAGCCCCTTTGGGGGGCCAGAGGCAGTAGGTGCAGGGGAATGCACTGGCTGGGAGCTTGGCCTCTTAACGGGCCTCAGCATCCTTGCCTTGCTGCCTCCAGAGAATTATGGAAAACACAAAAGGCCGGCCTGGCGTGGTGGCACACGCCTGTAATCCCAGCACTCCGAAGGCTGAGGCAGGAGGATCTGTGTGAGTGATCCTGGGCTACATAAGTGAGTTCCAGGTCAGTCTCAACTACATAGTGAGACCCTGCCTCAAAAAACCAAAAAACCCAAACCAAACCAAAACAACAACAACAAAAAAACACAAAAGGCCAAGGATATGGATGGCTGGAGCATAAGAGGCAGAATATGGAGAGGGAGGTCAGAGCTGTAACTTCTGTGGCCTTGTCTGTTCCCCAGAGGAAGAGTTTGGCCAGCTCTATGGGAATTGGAGGGCAACCAGGAAGGACCTCAGGGTGGGCAGAAAAGAAAGGTTTGAAAAGCAGGAGTCGATGCCCCCAAGCTGTGACTGGAGGAAGGCCCACAATGTCCTCTCACCCGTCAAGCACCAGGTATCTGCCCCCAACAGTTGAGCCCAATCTGGTCCAAAGGGTGGGAAGAGTGGGACACCTCACCTAGACCCCCCACTACACACTACCCTATAATACACCAGGGAAAGTGCAATTGCTGTTGGGCCATAGCGGCAGCAGGCAACATTGAAGCTCTGTGGAACATCAGATTCAAACAGTCTGTGGAAGTATCTGTGCAAGGTATGACTGGGACGGAAAGGGGGATGTGACAGGGGGGGACTAACGGCTTAGTCATTCATGCTGTGCCTTTTCCCCCCAGAGCTGCTTGACTGTGGCCGCTGTGGGGATGGCTGCTTGGGTGGCTACGTCTGGGACGCATTCATAACTGTCCTCAACTACAGTGAGTACCTGGCTTTTTGGACAATTAGAGGGGTGGGGGACATCCAGGAACAGAGTCTCCTTCCTTATCTTCAGGTGGTCTGGCCAGTGAAAAGGACTACCGTTTCCGGGGGCATGCCAAAACCCACAGGTGCCTGGCACCGTTCTATAAGAAGGTGGCCTGGATCCAAGACTACATCATGCTGCCCCGCAATGAAGACGGTGCGGCCAAAGTGGGGAGACATGGGTGGAGGGTGAGAAAGAAACAAAAGGCACAGGACAGTGGCAGACAGCGGGGCTGTGTCAAGAGCTGCAGCCCCACGGCAGGCAGGGCCTGATGGCACTCTCTCTCTCCAGCAATGGCCAAGTACGTGGCCACACAGGGGCCCATCACTGTGCTCATCAACCCAACGCTATTGCAGGTGGGTGGGGGAAGGAATGGGGGAAGGGGGCATGCGGGGAGCATGCAGCAGACTCAGCCCGTTTCCACTCCTGCAGCATTACCAGAAGGGTATCATCAAGAGCACGCCCTCCACCTGTGACCCCTGGCTTGCAAGCCATTATATTCTGCTGGTGGGTTTTGGCAAAGAGGAGAAAGCGACAGAGAAAGATTTGTTCCAGTCCAATCATCCTCCTCTCCAATCCACCCCTTACTGGATCCTGAAGAACTCTTGGGGGGCCCACTGGGGTGAGAAGGTGAGCACATCCACTGGCAAAAGGGACAGGGAAGAACAGGCCCTTCCCCACCTTCTGGCCCTGATGTCCCCTAACTTCTAGGGCTACTTCCGGTTGCACCGAGGGAGCGATACCTGCGGCATCACCAGGTTCCCACTCACTGCCTGTGTAGGTGATCCAGCTGAGAAGCAGAAAGTCTCCTGTCCTCCCTGAGCCTCTCCTGTATGCCAGCTGCCTCTTCATCGCCCCATCCTGAGGGTTTTGTTTGTCTTCTCAGTTTTCGCCACACCATGTGAATAAATCAAGACAAAATTTCTGCTATCCAAGTAGAGTCAGCTGGAGCTTGGAGACGGCAGGTGCAGGGAGCACAGATGGCACTTCTGACCCATCCCAGTTCCTGACAGGCTGGAGTACACCATATCTTCGTGCGTGAACACTGTGGCACTCAGGGACATACATGTACACTATACATGCCCCCACAGGCTCCTCCCCCTGGAGCAAGGCTCAGTGTCCAAACTCATAGTAACTTTATTGTCACAATGAGCAGGGTGGAGGAAGGGGCTCTTAGTCATGATAGAGACGTAGGAGGCAGCCACGGAGGGTGCCCATGTAGCGGTCCCAGAGGGCCTGGTGCCTGGAATGGAAACAGCAACAATGATGGCTGATAATTCCTTCAATGCTCTCCACAGGTGAGAAACTACTGTGAGTGCTTTCTATACCTTAATTCATTAAGTCCTCATCAAGTCTCTTCTGGTGTGGTGCTGGGCATCAAACCCAGGGCCTTGCACATGCTAGGCAAGCACTACACCACTGAGCATATCCCAACCCAATTACTCTTCATAAATTCTTGATTCTTCTAATTATTACCCTCAGTTTACCTAAGAGGAAGGTGAAGCATGGAGAAATTAAATAACTTGCCCAAGGTCACACAGATTCTAAGTGGTTGAGATAGAGACTTCAATCCACAGAGTGGCACAGTGGAGAGTTTGAGACAAGTGGCCAGCTGGGTCAAAGTCCAGCTAGACAGGAAGACTGGAGTCTCTTACCGGAAACCATCCAGGGAGTGGACAGATGCTGAATACTGATTCAGGAAGAGCCGCACATCACTCAGTGGCCAGTGGTCAGAGCGGCAGGGTTCCACAAACTGTGGGCAAAAGGAACAGTTAGTACCACGAGTACAGCCCAGGGACAGACCAAGAGAGGATGGTGGGCAGGGCAGCTCACTTTTTCCACAAGGTCCACAAACAGGTCTCTGACGTCCTTATTGTGGATCAGCTTGGCAGCCACATTCACCAGCCCCCGAGACAGGTTCTGTGGGGCAGGGATCCTAGGAGCTCTGTCTTCTGCCCCAAAAGCTGGGGGCTGAGCACAGAGGCTGGGGGAGGGGCAGGGCCCTCCCCAAATCTATCCACCTCCCTCAATGGACCAAGTCCCCTCTGTTTATGAGCTGTTTCCCCCTCACAGTCAGGCAGAGGGAGCAGCAGTGCCACCTGCCGGTCAATCTCCAGCCAATGCTGAGTTGCCAGACAGGGGTAGTACAGGGAGGCTGAAGATGCCCAAGGAAAAGGCTGGATGGGGCCACAGACCTTGAAGTTAGCTTCCATCTCAGAGAAGACGCTGAGTTTTCCCCGGAGGGCAGTGCACACCACGCTGCAGGGAGACAGGGTCATGCCTAGAGCCACCTGAGCCCTACTTCAGACCCTGTCCCGTGGACTCCCAAGGTCACCTCTTGTGCAAGTCCAGAAGGTCCTTGTCAGCGACTAGCACCTTGAGCTCCTTCAAGTCCTGGAGAAACTCCTTGTCTAAGTCCACATCCATGTCATCCACCTGAGAGTCTGCACAAGGCCCATGGGAGGAGTTGGGGCAGGTGATAACCCACTCCATGAGAGCCTGAACCTGCTTTATCAACCACTCGCTGAACCCCATGGGACATAGGGGAACTGAGGTCCCAAAGCAGGAGTGCCATGCTCCAGGCCATAGAGGCAGTGGCCGTTGGTTTACAGACAAGGTGTGTATGGGGAATGCAGACTATAAGCAGAAGGGACTCAGGCCTGGGTGGAGGCCTAAAAAAGAAAGGATGTAAGCTGGGCATACTGCATGCCTATAATCCCAGCACTCCAGACGCTGAGGCAGGATGAAGGCAAGTTCCAGGTCAGCCTGGACTAAATAGCGAGGCCTGGCCTCAAAAAGATAAGAGAAGAAGGAAGGATGCCGGAAACTGGGGACCTGCAGGAAGAACAGCTGGTGGGGAACCAGGCCCTGAGAGGGTAGGGAGCATCCAGGCACCTGGGTTGGTGGGGGCCTCACCGACGGCTCCAAGGGTCCAGTTCTGGATCATGAGCTCAGCACAGAAGGCAAAGTCTCCAAAGCTCAGATACTGCAGCTTTTTCTTTCCTGTTTCAAAGCGGTTATTGGCAAAGAAGACGATGGCTGCATAGTCCCTGCAGGTAGGGGACAATAGGTCCTCTCAAGGCTTGAAAGTCCTCATTGAGCCTATCACAGTATGCTGCATATTAAACTCATTCAATATTATTGAATAAAAAAATTCCTAGCTGGGCATGGTGGCACACACCTGTAATCCCAGCACTCTAGGAGGCTAAGACAGGAGGATCACAAGTTCGAGCTTAGCTTGGGAATTCAGTGACTTAGTGAGACCCTATGTCAAAATTGTTTAAATTATGAAAAGGTTAGGGATGTAGCTGAGAGTGGAGACCCTGGATTAAATCCCCTGCCTGTGATCTTGGCTACCTGGGAGTAAAAGTAAGGAGTTAAAGTGAGTAAAAGGCAAGTTTGTGGACAGCCTAGACAGCCAAGTTGCAGCCTCTTTTCTTGTCTTTTCTTTTTCCCCCTGTGGCCACTTTTCTGTTCCAACCCATTGTGTGATATGTCTCACGTCAATCTCTGCAGAGGTTTCAGCCTAGGTTTCCTAAGGGGCAAAGTAAGAAGAGTACAAGGCTGTTAGCTACCATTAATGAAGACTGCCTAAGTGTGCCACTCACAACAGCCCAGCTGGAAAATGGTCCTGCTGGGATTCAAACCCAGGTCAGTCTGATCCAGAAAGTGGGATAACCATCCTCCCAGAACAGCCAGGAAGTGAATAGGGTTGAGGTGGGGAAAGTGGACTGGCTTTAGAGCCAGGGAAGATGTGTGCAGGTGGGCACATGGCTGCCCCCTCACCTGGATAACCGGTCAGAGAGGAGGAAGTGTTGCTGGATGTTATCCACAAGGGAGCCCCGCATTTCCTCTACCACCTTGAAGACTCGCTTAAAGTTGTCAAACTGCAGGGCAGTTAGGGAAAGAGGAGAACTGGTTAGAAGGTACTCACCCAATGAAAGCTTATCGAATACTCCTCTCTCTCTCCTACCTACCTAGCTAGTCAGCAGTGCTGATTCAGCACTGCTTATTCCTTCAATAAACTACTAGTTATTAGCAGCTGTTATCAAGTCAACAAATGTTTATTGGCTTCTGTCATCTTGCCTCAGGCTCAACTCCTATCTCCATATTCAACTCCGTTTTAGCATCATACTCTCTGGTTCTTCAGAAGCCTGAGCCAGAGCACCCAGGAACTTGAAAAGAACAAACGCTAAGGTGTACATAGCAGCTCACAGAAGACATACATGAAAGGCATTAAGGTCCAGAAGTGTTACTTCTCCTTAGCATTACCAAAAAATCATGTGGTCCCCTGCTTCGGACTTCAAGGAGTAGATGTAGCCAAGAACAGTATTTTCCAGGTAGGAGCAAGATGAGAAAAATGTACAAATGTAAACTTAGGTCTGCAGGAGAGTTTAAAGGTCAAGGACAAGGAATGCAGTTGCTACTGGGGAAGCAATGGGAGCCAATCAAAGTTTGAACAGGGGGAAGCTGTGGTCAGATCTGGGTCTGTGAAAATCCACTCTGGCCATAATCGGGGGGATGGGTTAATAGAGACAAAAGGGGAGAAGATACTAGTAGGAAGTTGCTGTCACACTCAGAGGCTAGACCTGTGGCAGTGGCCAAGGGATGAAGTGAGGGAGTAGACAGTAGGTGGGATGTGGCATACGTGTGGGTGCAATGCCCACCTGTCTCCGGCAACTCTTAAGGGTGATGCCTGTTTTGGTGCTGATGTCGTCCAGGTCTTTCTTGGTGCCCTTGGACAGCTTCTTGCCCAGGACCTCCCGAACAAAGGCCTCATCAAAAGCATAGTACCTGGTGGAGGCAGGACATCATTGACCCTTCATAAAGGAGAAAAGGGGCCTGGTGGAGCCTGGGACTGGCCCTTCCAGTTCCCAACTTTCTGAGATCCTGGGTAAGTCCCGTCCCCCCACCCCCGGCAAAGTGGGTATATGGTTATACTGGTTAGCGTCCCCACCATCCACCAAGTGAGCACCTCTCAATGAGCAGCGCCTGCCGGGAGGGCGGGATCTGGAAGATGAGCTGGTGCAGCAGTTTTGGGGGCGCGTGTAGCAGGCGCTCGAGCATGTGGAAGGTGCGATAGTGGTCCATGGTGTCGCTCTGCAGCACGGCTGCCGTGGCTCCCGTCTGCTCCAGGATTCCGGAGCGCACTCGCAGCGCCACCGCGTCACTCACTGAAGAGTGGGCGCTAATATCAGCCCCACTGTGCCAACCTCAAAGACCCTCAAGAAGTTCGGCCCCAACTTCTCCACATCCCTTCTTCCCAGCCGCCTGCCAACTTCTCTTTAGGGACGCCCAAATCCTGGTTCCGCCCCTCTCCGATACAAAACCACGCTCCTCCCGACTGGCTCCCCCACGCGGCCGCACACAGACCTGAGTAGCCATCCAGCCACAGGCGATACACGTCCTCGTCTATAAGAGTCGTGTTCCCCACAAAGATGTCCAGCTCGCTTGTCATGGCTATGCCCGGACCCGGGGCGCCCCGAGCAGGAGTTAGCACTGCCCGGGCCGGGCGGGCTGCCGCTGGGCCACTTCCGGGAGCGCAGAGATTCCGCTCCGAGCACCCGGAGCCAGTGAAGGACCATTTCCGGTACGGAGCCCGTGGGGGCGGGAGCCGTTAGAAAAGAGGCGGAAGCCTGGGCTGTGGAGGAGCCGGTTTCCTTCAGCTGGGAGGAAGCTAGGGTTCCTTCTGCTTACTCTAGCCTTCCCAGCTGTTTTCGAGGAGGGCATCCGGAGCGCGGGGCGTGGTGGAAGAACATAGGCTAAGGCGTGAGGATTGCTGCAAGTTTGAGGCCAGCCTGGGCTACACAATGAGTTCGAGATCATCAGCCTGAACTACATAGCGAGACCGTCAGCCTCTCCTCCCCGGCAAACTCACTCCTCGCTTCCTCCTGGCTTTTTTTCTCACTATCTCTGCCTTCTTCGGCCTCCCAACTTTGACCTGTATCTTAAACTTAGAAGTTTCACAGGGGTCTATGTTAAATGTCTTCTCTGCGAAATGAGTGTGGGTCCCTGCTATTAAGGGCTCTTGCTGGGGAACCCTGTGTCCCTCCTGTGAAGGAGCATCTCTCTTGGACCATGAGCACCTGCTCCCACACGATTTTAACCTCACACCCCTCCCCACACAAGCTTATTTTGTCGCTCTGATCTCTGCCTGGAAGCCCCCCACTTGCATGACTGCCTATCTGCCAAGTCTCTCCACATGGTCTTCCCAGAAGCACTTTGAAATTTTAACACATTCTAGACAGACCTCTCACTTCCCAATCTGTTTCTTTCCTGCATCCCTATAGAAGTTACAACCCTAACATCCACCCAACTCTCACAGTAGAAACCTGGGCTGTCTCCCAGATTTTCTCTCTCCGCACTTTCAGTTCTGCTGATTTGCCGCCTAACTATCTGAAATATGTTTCGTTTTCTCCACTCCCACTGTCTAAGTCCCAGCCTAGTCTTTCTGCATATCTCTTCTACCTCATCTGACACAGTTACTAATCTCCCAGCCTACATCCTTTCTTTCTAGGGCCCATCCCACACAGGAGCTGAACAATCTTTTTAAAATGCATATTTTAAAATGTTACTCCTTTGTTTAAAATCCTTACTGGCCTTTGGAAACACTCCAATCTAGTATTGAAAGCTTTTAAAATTCTAGCTTCCACCCACCTTGAAAGCTCCTCTGTTTTGCCACTTTCTGCACACATCTGCCTTTCAAAAAAGATCAAGCTACCCTCATTGTTTCTAAAGCAGCTAGTCTTTTTCTAGCATCAGTGTCTTTCATCACACTATTATCCTCTCCCTCTAAGAGCTCTCTCTTTTCTTGGCAAAGCCCTATGCAATCTTTCAGGGCCCCTTTTGTGTCACCTCTTTTGGGGAATATTTTGGGATCCCAGAGACCGTATTCCTGCCCGCTTCCATTTTTATTTTTGGTGCTGGGAGTGAACAAGGGCCTTGCTTGTGTCAGGCAAATGCTCCATCACTGAGCTACATCCCCAGCCCTCCTCCCACATTTCCCCGTTTTCTCAGCCAGATTGTGACCTTATGAGGTCAAGCTTAGTATCTTGGTTTAGTGTATTTGTGCATGAGTCTCGCGCAAAATAACAGTTTATTAAACATACGAATCCCTTGGATCCCCCCACCTACTACCATACAGGAAATGCTCCCGGGGAGAGAGGGCAGACTAATAATGAGCCGGGAGGTTTGAATTCCGGATTCTGAGAAGTTAGTTGGGAGTCATGCTTAGTTAGCCGAGACTCTGCAGCTCGATTTTGGCACAGCCTGGAAAGCAACCCATCTGGATTCCTGCGTAGGGTGATTAGGAGTTAGGGAGGACACTCGAATCTTTTTTTTTTTTACACCGAATCTTTTGAAGGAGCCAAGGGGCCCAGGCTCGAGCTTTATTGAAGAGATTTGGAACTTGTCTTCAAGTCTCGTTGAGACCAGTGCAAAGGGGAAGGATGGCCGGGCAAGCCGTGCGCAGAGGGATGCGACCCCCTCAGTCTGGAATGGGTAAGGAACTGCCTCTAAGCATCCAGGGCTCGCCCCTTTCCAGAAAGATTCTCTGATTGGCTGTCCTTCCGTAACGTCATGCGGTCCCGCCCCGCCGCGTGCCCACCCCCGGGTGGCTGCTGCAGCCTACGCTGTCTCTGCTGCTGTCTCCCGCCCGCTGAGCAGGACCCGGAGCAGCTCTTGGC